GATTACACTTCCCATACAGATAGGACCCAGTGGCCCAGGACTGGACCTGATCTCGAGCAAACTTCCTGAGGGATTCACCAACTCTGTGAAGCCATCGAGCGGCAGGTGGGAACCTCTGAGTAAATACTCCCCTAACCTGGCCCTCTATCCTAAACCTTACCTAAACTCTATTTACACTTGGTCCTTAACCTAACCCTCCCCCCACCCAAAATCAGCATCCGTACCGATGGGGATGGACCAGGCGTCGGTCCCCATAAGGCTGTGTTTGTCCATGATGTAGYAAAAACGTGTCCACACACAGAGAGAGCTCTSAGTGGTGAGTGAGAACAGATGATTAATCAATAAACAATCAACATTTATTTTACATTTTGTGTTTGCATTTACACCACTGGGACAATAATGTTCAAACTGAGACACTGACTTTTCTAAATGATTCAACAGCAGGTCATCAGCTTCATATCTTCTCCCTACAAAGTAACACCAAGCTCAGTTAGAACCTCACGACAACTTTTCAAAAAGCATCCAGATGTCGAATCACTTAATACTGGTGAGATTTAAACAAGCAAACAAACAGCTTCCTGTTATGGTTGTTTTTGTTGGCTCACCAGTCTCACTCCTGCAGCTTTCACTCTGGTGATGGGTCAGTCTCAGCTGGAGCCGAGCTAACGGTCAGCTCACTCGTGGCTTGCTCGTCTGCCTCCTGAGATGAGGTGAGAGAACGTCACATTAAGCTTCAGTCTGCTGTGTTCTCATTTGTCTCTGGTTTTTGAACATGCATTTTCTAATGTACGAGTCCGAAAAGAACACCGCTGATGTTTGTGTTAAACAGAAACAGTTGAGCCACCTGCTCCTGGTTCTGAAGAACAAGGCCACTGGGTTGTTCTGTCTCCAGCGTGTCTTCTTCTGTTTCTCGATGAGGAAACGTCTGCTCTGGGTTGAGATTGCCCGAGGCTGCCGCTTCTGGCTCAGAGGAGTCTTCAGRTTTAACTGTTTCTTCTTCATCGACCTTATTGTCAAAAACAGAGAAGATTAGATTAACATAATCTTATCATACRTGGAACCCAACACAAACCTCAGCCACATCTTTAACTGGACTCTGTCATCTGTTTGTCAGTTTGTTCTCTGCTGGAACTCTTTCTGTTTGTGTGTCTTTAGTTCTGATCTGTTATGTGACTGGGAGCTACTATCAGTGRCCTCACTCATCATTTATCTGCCTCCTGAGACGAGACTCAGTGAAGTAATACAGATACATGTTGTGAATAATGAAATCAAACATAAAAAGKTTATCTTGAACTCTATCAAATGGTACAGTGTGAAAACATTTACAAAAGTGGTTTCTGAGGAAGTTTCTGCCCTTCCCTCTCGCCTGCTTTTTGCCAAAGTTAACAAAGATTCAGCAGCGAGCCACCTTTTCCTGGTCCTGAAGAGAAGCCGAGCTGGATTTGTGTGTCTCCTCTGTGGTTTCTGTCACGTTTTGTTCTTGTTCTTGCTTTGGAAAGTTCTCCTCTGCTGTCAGGATTGCGCTCTGCCGTGCTGACGCTGCCTCTGATTGGCCAGAGTCTTCAGCGTCATCTTCCTCTTGTTCATCGACCTGGCAGTGARGAGTATAAAAGTAGATGAGCAATAATCTTTTAATATAGTCTTCTCTCATGCTGACTCCTGGCTCTAAGCTTCTGAACTTTAACTTCGCTTTGCCTCTGTTTCTTCTGCTCATAATCTTKACATGAAATGGAGCCTGCAGCTCCTCATCCTCAGGCTGAACTGAAACTAAATCTTCAAACYGAATCTTTAATCTCAGAGCCACAGCGAGCACACCGCTTCACCTTCTCTTCGTGCCGAGCGTCACTTTCATCATCCAAGTTGTTGTCTGCATCACTGGATTTTAAACCAGCATCATCTTGTCTGGGAGTTGGTTGCAGTTGGTCAGTTTGTTCTGGTTCTTCTTGTTCTGCAGCTTCAGCCACCTGCAGGAACCAGAACATACGTGAGACCTGCAGCCATGCTGTCATCTGTTTGATGAGAGTTTCACTTGCGTTGTTTAATTTCAGGTTTGTTCTGAATTATAGCTCAAATTTAACAAAATCTGAGCTGTATCGTTACCTTTTCTTCTTCTTGGTCTGCCTCCATCACTTCTGTTGGATCAGGGTTTGGTTCTTGCTCAGGTTTTCCTCCAGCATGTTYCACAGTTGTCTCTGCTTCCTCCTGTTTGATAAATTGTTACAATTAATTTCATTAAACTGTTTTTAACACAGTCCCGAGGGAACTTGTGCTCATGGTTATTAGTTTAGGCTCTCACACCTGACAACACCCCCCCCCCCAAAAAAAAAAAAAAAAAAAAACCTCAGGATTAGTCACAGATGAAAGGTAAAAGAAAAGAAGATCGGAGAACATGCAGTCTTCAAAAGCACAGAAATGTTAACCTCCTGTTAATTGACAACATCCTGCACCTCAGGCTGATGTTGGTCTAAACTCTCCTGGTTTCCTGGATCAGGAGTGCTTGGTTTCTCTTCTTCTCCAGACATTTTATCCTCAGCAGCTTCTACAGTGACTTCAGCCGTTGCCTCAGACTCTGTGTGCTCCTCAGTTTCCTGTAGGCAAGTTGGTYGTTTTCAACAAGGTTGAATAAACAAAGAAAATTTAAATATAAGATGTAATATAAAGCTTTAAAATAGCACAAGATGAGCCATATTGAAGTATATAATACTAATAGGAAAATAAAGATCCAGTTAAATTTAAGTTTTAGTGTTCAACACTGCCAAATAAAAAGAAACTTTGTGAAACTTCGTACATCCTTAGATTCTCCCACGGTCTTGCTAACCTCCTCCACCTTCTCCTCATGCTCTCTCAGATTCTCCTGGCGCGGTGCTTCTTCTTTGGCTTTCGCATCCTGCTGCTCCTGGAGAGATTTGAGTTCCAATTTGAATTGCAAAAATGTGTGGCGCTTTGATATTTTATGTATCAAGTCAGCCAAGCCATGCTTAGGTATTCACATTCACAAATGACAAAGAAACTGCAAGGTTAAATAAGAATCATCTGGTAGTAAATACGCTGTGTTATAGTGCCCCCTGCTGTCCACAAGCTGAAACGACATCTTACCTGTTTCCTGCCGTGTTTGTGAAGCCAGTAAGCCAAAGCTCGAATGGGGTCCTCAGGTCGCTGTTGGGCCACTTGAGCCAGTCCCTCCGCCAGACAGTCCTCCAAAAATGTCTTCAAATACTCCGAGTCCATTTTACTACTTTCTACTTGAAAACCTGAACCAGAAACACAGTTATAGGTTTTTTTTAATTAGCTACGATGAGTGCCCTAAGAGGGGAGCTGATTTGTGAAACAAACGGCCGAAGCAACACAACGGTTTCCTATTGTTATTCTTTTATTTGTTTATTTATTAGCGGTTTTTGCGATAACAATTTGTGCGCTGTTTTTTTATTTTTTCTTTTGTTTTGTTTTTTCTTTTACGATGCTTTATTTTAACTATAACAACTTATGACTTATTTAACGACGAAGATTTAGCAAGAAAAAACCCAAACCTGTGCGTTGTCTGTCGGCTCAGTTAGGTTGTTTCTATGGCAACTGTCTGTCCCACACTAATAGTCTTCCTCTCAGTCTTTGTAAATCGTTCCTAGCATTTATTAAAGGAATGCATCTGCCGCCTGAAAAAATATTATTTTAATAACTAATGTAGTTGTGAAACTTAAAAAAATTAAAATAAATAATAACTGCCCCTTTTTTCAAATATAATAA